GTTCCTTGGAAACGCGGCAGGAATAGCGCTGTGGCGAAATTTGTCACCAAAACAACCACAATCCTCGTCATCGCGAGCATCAAACCCAATGATAGACGAACAGGAGCAGCACACTACCGTCGACTACAAGAACGAAGATCGGAAAACAAGCTGTTCGCTACGGAAAACCCTCCAAAACATGGCGAAGGACGACAAAAACAAATCAAGGAAGTCTTCAACGCTGCTTTGTGACAGGCAGCAGGATGGATCACATGTGTTTCATTCGCTCCGCCAGAGCGTTGTGGAGCCCATACACCTCTTCCGTGGAAGTCGACATACTCACTGGCTGCGGGGGACGATGAATCCCCAAATCCAGTCGGCGCCGCACCCCGTTCTCATCGACCTTTCTCGTCGAACTCGATACCAGCATCGAGGCGGAGGAGAATGTTACGGAGAATGCACACGGTTGTGAACTGCTGCAATAGTTTCGAGGTTCGTCTTGTGCATCCACATGAACAACCTCCACATCCGCTTCAACTTCCTGAACGCCCTCTCCACAACCCTTCTTGCGACCTTCTGCTTCGTATCGAACTTTTCATCGTTGGGGTGCCGATTGATCCCTCCACCCATTCAGAAGGAGCGTATCCCAGGATGTATCCGTTCTTCCTCACCCCGTCCGGAAGCGTGACAGGCGGCCCACGCAACAGTGTTCCCTCTTCCGTGTGCCTCGACACACTTGAAAGCTGGATCACCTTGATGTTGTGGCAGCTCCCTGTATATCCAACGAACATGTCAAGAACACCCAGATCCCGGCCCACCACCACCTGCACAATGATGGAGAAACGGTGCTTGCGGTCGAAGTACTCGTCGGGCACGTTTGCCGCTTTGTCCACGTAGTGTTGTGTGCAGTCAACTGCGCTATGGAAATTAAGGAAGCCCTTCAAGTTCTCCAAAAACGCTTGGAGCACGACGTGTTTTCACACCCCCGTCGGCCTGGTCCTGGATATCTTGTCCGCGTAGACCCTCAACAGAGCAGATGTCACATAATGCACGACAAGAATTCAGGAAGCTTTGATTCTGCTAAAAGATGATGTGTTGCTGTTGTATGTCTCTCCTGTAGCCCACCTATACAGCGTGCACGCCACGATCTGCTCCGGCTGAAGCGGCTCCCTCTAGAACGTGACCTGTCATAAATGAGGTGAACACGCTTCGCTGATCTCCATGAAAAGTCTCCTGGACATGCTGAGCTTTTCCCGTAAGTAGTCGTCAGTCGCGTCATCACACACTTGCAAATCCTCCCAAGTGTCGCAAGTTCTTCACTTCATCAACCAACGTGGCGTCCCCTGAGGAAGCACACCGCACCCGATTGCGACGCACAATTGAACCACGGCCTCCGAATTGCTAATGTAGTCTGGGGCGTCCACCGGACCACCACCCTCTACACCAGAAGCCTCTGCTGCCGCCTCGGAAGTGTCACCTTCGTGTGCCTTACTGCCCTCTCAACTTGGCTTCGGATAACC